CATAATACATATATATATATATCTATATACACATATATATATATATATATATATATTACACAAATCTACCACCAAATTTTAATTTTCACTTAAAATTTTAAAGATTACGATAAAACTTCAAAATTAGTCTTTCCGATTATGCTGAGGATTAAAATAAATTTGATCTAGAGAAATATAGCTGTATTAAAGAGAGTTAAATGTAGTGTATATATTAATCTTCTTAGAGAAGAGTTATGTTTTTAAAATAAGAGGAAAAATAGTGTAATTTAATTAGCTCTTAATAAACAGTAATTTACTCGAATTAACCCCCATTATTTTCCCTGTTAATTTGTCATAAACATATTTTGTGTTTAATTTTTTTTCTCTCTTTCTATCTTTCTAATGGTATCGATCATCTTATTTTTCATTTCATTTTCTCTTCGTATTCTCCACCAATTTAAAAAAAAACAATTCTATTAATAAAAAGAATATTATTTTCTCATATAAAAAAATGTGAAAAAATTGAAACTTAATTAATAAATAGAAATCTCTTCTACATGCTTCAATTGTTAATTATGTGTGATCTTAATTATTATTATTACTTATTCACTTGCATTGACCACAGATAAATGAAGAAGACGAGAAATAGTGCAACTATTAAAAGAATTCGAAGACTTCTCTTATTATTTCTTTCTTATGTGTTATTTTCAAAGAAATTAATGTTCATCTTTAAAAAAGTCTGACCGAATCTATTTCTTAAATCACACATTTTTTGTTTATTATTATTATTATTATCATCACCAATAATAACATTATTTTTATACTTTACAATCTAAATCAAAGGGAATGTTCAACATATATCCAACCAAAAAGAAAAAAAAGAAGAAGAATTCTTACATATAATAACATAAGAATATATGATAAGTATATGTTTTAACAATAATATCCTTTTTCTGAAAAAGTCATTGACCTTGGACACACAGAAAACATTCCATGGTTGATGCTGCTTTCATATTAGATGCAAAAGAAGTCTTATTCATTTGTATTTATATATATATATGTGCATATATTCTTCCTTTAAGGTTCTCTTGTTGCTGCTTCTGCACGACGTGAAAGTGAAGAACATGAAGAATTCTAAGAAAACGGGTGTACGGAAATACCAAAAATCAGAAAATCCACGTCTGCGATGGACACCTGAACTCCATGAATACTTTGTAGAAGTTGTGGAAGGTCTTGGTGGAAAAAACAGTGAGTTTTTCCTTCTTCAACTTGATCTAGGGTTACCTATTTCGTCTCTCTGCGTTATCATGTCCATTCCCAGAATTTCATTCTATTTTTTCTTTTCATTTTTTGCTTGATCCTTTGTTTAATTAACCTGATTTATACAATTTCTAGCTAGAATTTCTTTTTTCTTTAATCTCTGTTGTTTTTCTTCTAATTATTCCTATATATGTGTGAGAAGGGAGAAAAACAAACTATTAATGACAGAAACATCTTACAAAAGATGATTTTTTTTTATATATATATTATGCAGTGATTCATCTCTGTTTTTTCTTCTCTTGTGAGTGTGATATGTATCGAACAAGAGAGAAGTTTTCTTTTTTTGCTATATTTCAAGTTCAACCAGTTCCTGCTAACGATTAAGCAAATTGGATTTTGCAGAGGCAACTCCAAAGAGCATTCTGCAGATGATGCATGTGAAAGGACTAAGAATCTCTCACATTAAAAGCCATCTTCAGGTATATGTATATATAGTTATCCCATGTGGTCCAATAAATATTCTTATACATAGTTATATATTTTCATAAAATACCTGTCAGTACCTTTATTTATTTTTCTTTAACAAGTGAAATTAAGCCTTTGATTTTGTGGTTTGGGGAATGATGGGGTGGGTTAGAACTGACAAAACCCCAAGATTTAAAGAATATGTATATAACAATGTTTTACCTAATGTGGCAATTTTCTTGGTTAATTCTTCTTCCTCAGTGGGAAAAATTCCTAATCTCTTGTCTCTATTCAAAACCAATCAAACTAAGGATGAGACAAAACAAATAAGGTCTAGGTTATTTTTTGTTTCGTACCAACAATAATTGATGAAGCAACAAAAAGGAAATAAAAAAAACTGTAGTTTTTGGAAAGCAAGATTTGTCACAATAGGTAGATATATATTGCACTACGTTCATTCATGATTATATTCCATTGCTTTTCGGCTGACGACAAAGTTAATGAAGAGCCATATATAAACCCCATTAATATTCTCACTTCTTTTTGCAGTTACTTGTTCTTTTCTTGTTACTTATGTTGTTTCTTTCAATTACGTGGTACAGAACAAAAGGAAATGATCAATAATATCTTATTTGTATTCATATCAGTTAACCTTTAGGTTCTATTTGTACGACTTGTTCATATCAAAAGAATGAACAACATTTGCTTTAGTGTTAAAAAATGTATTTTGTGCACGCGTAGCTTTGTAAAAATAACAATAATTTATCTAGGTTAGGTACATGTGCATATGCAACACGAATATATATATATATATATATATATATGTATGTATGTATATATGTATATCTATATATATATATATATATGTGTGGGTGTGTGTGTATACATATAAGTTTGAAGACGTGAAACTCTTTTTCTCTTCTTCTGTCTTTAGCAAAATCTGTGAAAACAAGTTTTGTTGCATTGTGGATAGCAAGCTTGCTTTTTGAGATGCCAAAAGCGAATATCTGTGTAAGCTTTAAAGAAAAGGAAACACTTTTTTTTCCTTTATTAGGCTTGAAAATTGGTTCTACACAGTGTCAATGTACTATATACTAGGCTTTAGCATATTATATTGGCATTTATAACCATGCGTTCCAATGTGATTAATAAAATTGAGTACAAAGTATGAGAAGTAAAGAAGGGGAATAAGTTGATATAGATTTTGATTGACTCTAGAATGACTTTTGAAAGTGTTTTTAAAAATGTTCTATATAATTCACAGAGTTCTAAAAGCACTTCTAAGACACACCACTAATTTTAGTCCAAACATCCTTTGTAATAGTGAAGGAAATAATCGTATTTTAATTACTGTTACATTTAATATAAAACATTAATTTATTCTATCAATAATTAACTTTGTTAAGTAATTTAATTGATTACTTTTTGTCATTTCTGTTTTAAATTTAAATTTAACCCTTCACTTAAAGAATCTCAACCTAATTCTACACATGTTATATATATTTAGCTTACGTATCAAATTGAAACCTTCACATTATTGCGGCTATACCAATTCTTTTTTTCCTTTGGTTCTCCTAAATGCAAGATGTGGTCGTAATAGTTTTGGAAACTAAAGACATAATATTTGTGTATAGATATAGAATTTGCTTCTACTAAAATGTAAAAGAAAATAATTTAATGTTAAATATTTTTTTTATTCTAAGAGAAATTTGGATTTTAGATGTACAGGAACCTGAAGGGGCATACGATTCTCTCATCAATGCATCAGGAGATGGAAGGGAATGAAGATGGTAAAGATCTTCCAATGTGCTCCAATTGTTCATCCCAAAGGTAATATAATTCATGCAAATCATTTCAACCCTATTGAAAATAAATTCTTATACTGTTGAAGTAACTTTATTTTAGAATATGATTTTTCTTTTATAACGTTATATACTATGGTGAATCAATGCAGCGGTTAAATATAATTCTACCCTAATTAATACTTAGGGAATAAATCATGTACCAAATTTTCATATTTGATTTGTATTATGAATCAAAACCCCTTGATCTAGTAATATTCACAATCCTCCAAACATAAATAGTACAATGAACATGAAAAAAACTGACAGGAAAAAAAAATCAAATACAGTTCCATCTATTTCTTTCTTAACATATACATATACATACATATATATATATATATATACATATATATATATATATATATATAATCTTAATTTAAACTAATATATGTAATTTCTTTTTTATGAATACGAATATTTATTATTTGGATTGAAGTATTCATTTCTATTTGAATCTGCGAAGGCCTAACTCTATTGGTTGAATATTGTTTCAGCTGTTGTTGTTTTCAAACAATACTTATATTTAACTTCGATTACGTGATTTTAAGGTCAAATAACAAATCTATTTATTTAATATTATATATAAGTATTTTCTTCTGTTATTTGTTGTTTTTTTTATCTTTTGTACGTATTCTCATCGTTAAAAGATAGTTTACTTTTATAAAATTTAAGTCCCATAGGAATTCGGCATGAAATACATTTATGCTTTTATATTGGTGCTGTATCACCCACTGTAATTGTGAATTCTCTTACATATATTTTTTTCTATTGTTCAGATCACAAGAAGCAAAATTTAGGGCATCAAAATATGATATGGGAATTGTGACTCAAGAAATTTGCCCGTCAGAAAATAAAGGACTTTCACAAACCAGTGAAACAGATTACGATCTAAATCAGGTACTGTTTTTATCTACTATTTAATTTGATATAGCACTTTCCTTACTTTTAGAAATTCAATCTTTTCGAGCTTTAACCATTCTTTAGAAACCTTAAGACTGTTTGATTTGTGAAGCATTCTTCTATTTCTTGATTGTGTATATAAAAACCATCAAGCTACTTTTATTTTCATTGTTTTTCACTAAGATGTTGAAAAATATAGTGCGAGTTGTAACACTCCAAAACTAGACATAAATATATATACATTACAAAAAAAAAAAACTTATGCATGTATGTTTGTATATAGAAGATACTAGGAAAACTATTGGATTAATGTATTATCATCAGCTTCCCATGTTAAAACACATAGTAGAATTACAACATTAAAAATGGATAAACTAATGTTTAAATTAAACATTAGAATTCAATTTATATGTGAATAATTCAAAGTAATAATTTCAAAACTTACACAATACAAAACTCAAGGTACATCAAAATTGATGGCTTCCACTACTAAGTTCAAATTTAGAGATACTAACACTTTCGACCAATTTAATATGTTTTAATTATTCAAATTTAGATTTTAATGAGACAAATTCTCATAATGTAGTAATTTCTATATTCTAGTTGAGTATCAATATCTCTCACTATATGTACAAAACATCCATCGATTCTTCATAATGTTGTAATTTCTATATTTCTAGTTGATATCAATATATCTCACTATGTGTATAAGACATCATTCATCGATTCTTCAATTATTACTCGTGTCTATATAACTTAGGTTATCATTAGAATTTAAATTATCTTTAGCAACCTTTAACCTATTACTTACACAAAATCTTAGCATATCAATAGCATATCTTAGCACTTCAACCTATAAGTCTTTTAAAAATAAAATTATAATAAAAAATTTACACTCAAACAAATTCGATAACAAATCTTAATAGTATTATCTCAAACGATTTATATGATTACGATTAAGTTTGTATAAATAAATTTGTAACTTTAGTATACAAAGGTAAATCCAGTCATAGCTGAGTTCTAATTAAATAGTTGTTTGATTCGTTCAGTTTAAAAGAGAAAAAAAAACCAACAAAATACATAAAAAATTATTTAAGAAAAAAAATACAACGAATAAGAATGAAATTTACCTCGACACCAATTTGAGGACGGTTTCATTGTAGGAAATAAAGACATTTTCTCAAATGATATCTTTACATAATACTTATATGTAAAAAAAAAAGGGAAGAAGCAACTTATATCTAAGCTTATATATAACATGTAATTTTGATTTTTTATTTAGTCCTCCATAGTTTACACTTTTATTCCTTCCCAATTTAGTTTGATGATAAGTTTAATGAAATAAGTAATATTATTATTATTTATTATCAAACAATCAACTAAATGGAATTTTAATTTATATAGATTAATAAACTTCCGCATCACCATTGAAATAAATATCAATTATACTATTTTGCAGGAACCCGAATCTTGTGCATACATACATAGTGAGACGTTAAATGAAGAAAATAGTAGAAGAATGAAATTTCTTGATTTCACATTCTCTTTTAGCTCTCAACTAATTCCAACCATGCATGGTAATCAAGAGAGGATGCATTTTTCTTCACCAAATGCAGCAGATAATCATGCCATTGATTCTAATTCTGTACAATCTCATGGGAGCAACAACTACATAAATTTAGACCTATCAATATGAACATGTATCGTATCTGTAACCAACCACGCATTGTTTTTCTTAGGCTTAGGTTTTTGGCAAAGATTGTAAAAGTTAATGAATTATTGTATAATCTATAATAATTAAAGAAAACTTTAAGCAGTCTTCTATTTAATTTAAGTCGCTTAATTTATAATACTTTTACAGAGTCGTGTCTTTTAAATTTATATGCGTTTGTTATAACATTAGGGAATTTACAGGAAGCAATTTCTCTGTTGTTTCCTTTGTGTGTGTGTGAAGAATAGGAAGAGGGAACAAGATAATTTTTTTAATGCTCCTAATTTCCTTCCCTAATTTATCAGGCATCCTGCTAAAATAAAATAGTGGAAGAGTTCTAATAACCAAATTTATTAAACATATTCTACCCCGAAAAGATAAATGTCTTCTTTCCACCTTTCCAATTTCTTCTAAATTTTTGTCATTATTGTTTTCCAAATTCATATTTTCTTGGATTTCTCCGAATTTGTTTCTAGATAGGTAACTCGTATCACCATAGTGTAGTGTTACAGTACAGCATTACTGAAAATTCTTCAAAAAAAATTTGTGTCCTAACTTGATTTTATCAAAGTTAACATCGAGCTTAGATCCTATTCAAAGCACTTCATAACACTACAGTAAAAAGCTGATTTTTCGAAAGATTAATACCAATGACCATATGGTTCTTCGAAAAGTGATGTTTTCCAAGAAATTTACTTACGATCATTTGATTGGTAGCGTATCGACGAATAAGGCCGTCGATAATGGTCATCTCACATTACTTAGGGAAGATGAACGTTGGTATGTGGATAAAGTATATGAAATCAGAAATAGGGATTCCCTCTCACAATTTCACTCCCAATTCGCACCACACTCACCACACTCACCACACTGAGACAAACTTCTCCCAACACTCAGAGAACTTCTCCCCCTTAGTCATCATAGTCATCATCAGAATGATCTTCACCATCCTGCTACTCTATAGATGGTTGGACTAGTGTGAGGTGGATTGGTGTGGGGTGGATTGATGTGGGTTGGACTGATGTGGGCTGTTGAGGGATGATAGGTGACGTGAAGGGTCATGGTTGGGTCGGAGGGACGGTGGAATGAAGGTGTGAAGCTTCAGGGACTTAAAGTTTGTCAACTTGTCTCTCAATTCACTGTATTTTTCTCTCAAATCACGACATTCCTGGTCACGTTGTTGTAGTAGCTGTGTCAAGTGCTCTACGACCTCGTCAGTAGTGACGGTTGAAGAAGAAGGTTGGTGCTTTAGAGTGACTCCTCTTACTGCTGTGTAGTTTGCAACAAGCTGTCCTGCATCGTACACTCGTCCCTTTTTCTTCTCACCAACGACATCGACCCAACACTGTGTCCTACGGATGTCGTTGTCTTCATTACTCACAGCACTCGGTGTAGGAGCTGACCCATGTTCGGATCTAACCTGTGAAACTCACGTAGAAAATTCTTCCTGTTCAAACATTAAAAGTTAGGGAATGATACAGTAACATGAATAAAAATTACTAGCTAATAGTAATAGCAGTGTTATTTGCTTACATGAGTCTTCCGAGACCTTTCATCAACGAATTAAGTAGTTCCCTTTTGAACATGAGTCTGTGCAAAGACCTCACCAACATCGACTGCCCATCCTAGAGCTTGTGCCTGTAACATAATTTAGAGTTAGAAGTGTACACGAAATAGAAAATACATATGTTATATATGAAAGAAACATAAAAGTAAGCAAGGTTTACCATACGAATGACATGCTCATGAACTGTGATCGACCTACTAGTATGCAGGATGCCACCCTTTTCAGAAGCTCTATTCTTCTGGGTTGTAACACACTTATTGCAAAACTCTGCTGAATTCCAATGAGCGAGTAAAGAGTTCCAAATGTGCTTGCCCGTCCAGTAAGGTTGCTCCCCTACCGAGCGGGCATCCCTAAACATCTCTAACAGCCGATGAGATGTTTTACTGTGGAAATTTCTTTGTATTTGAGTTTCATGTTCAGGTTTCCACTACACCTTCATTTGTTATAATAAACAAAAGAAACATTGATTAATTAACATACTAAAATAAGAATGACAATTAGTTTAATGGGTTATTCACCTTAAAACGCTTCCAGAATGGCTCACTATCGCCTATAGGTATTGCTCCCCAAGTAGGCCATGCACTCAAATATTGTTGCTTAATTGATCGTGTGATGGCTTGGGAAGCAACCTTAGATGGAACAAACCTGAATATAAAGAAATAAAAAGTCAATCGCATTAAGGAAAAATTAAAACATCAAAATAATTAATAAATAGATTAAAGTCTTACCCTCGACCAAAAGGCTCAATCCATGGTCAATCATGGAGAGGTTGGTCAACAACATCACCAACTAAATATGGATCAACAGATGATGTGGCAGTCTCAAAAGTTGGTATAGAAGATGAAGAAGG